CACAGCATTGTGAATTGCCATATGTGCCTTTTTCGACACTATTTGACTATTCGCAATAGAGTGCAGAGACCCATTTACTCTATTTCCCGCATTCACTCGTCGTTCTATATCCTTATCATATCTCCCATCCCTGCTAAATACGCTAAATACCCAAATATACAAACTCCTCTACTTGCTCGATCAACTCCCCTTCTATTCTTATTTCACAAATCGTTTTACTTTCTTCTCTTTCAGAAACCATATCCTTCGTCTTATTTGCGTTTACTTTCATACCCCTTTCTTTAAATGATCTGTTCATTAATGTAACCATCATTTGCAACTCGGCCGCCGACAACGCAAGAATAACTTGATAATAATAATAATAATAATTTATTTATTTCTCACCACAATCGACATGGAAGATACATTAGTGTTACATCTCTATTTTAACAATATTTTGTCATTCACGGGAGACTGGTGCCCGTGTAGGTTCAAAGACTCGTATTACAGGTCACCACACACAGGTTATTTTTGAAATTGTATGTTGTCTTAAAACTATATGTAGCACAAATAGTTGTCGAACTGTAAGAACTTCGCTTATTCTATACAAATCTAAAGTTGGATATAAGTAGGGTTTAAAATGGATAACTTTTAAAAGTGATCTTTGCGCACGCTCTAGTTCAATAATATGTGTTTTGGCTGCACCACCCCAGACTTCAATTCCGTATGTTAATAAAGATTGACACAAAGCATAATAGGCCAATTTTAGAACTTCTCTATTAGCAACATGTCTTAATTTTTTAAATATAAAAATCAATTTACGCACTCTACCACATAGTGTTTTAATATGAGAACGGAATGTTAAGGTGTTAACTTGATCATCGGCGTACGAAAGGCATTTGCCGGTTAACTCACCCATTCTTAATCCGCATTCTTCAACTTTCAAATTTTGCAAACAACTGTCCATAAATAGGCTGAACAGCCACGGGGAAGCCACACAGCCCTGTCTGACACCTTTATGGATGTCAAACCAGTCCGAGTAGACCCCGTTGATCCTAACACAAGCACTAGATTCCCTATAAAGAGACTCCAATGCCTGTATCAAGCCAGCGGTCAACCCAAATGAGTTCAGTACTTGCCATAGCACATCCCTATCCGCTCTGTCATAGGCCTTTTCCAAGTCCATGAACGCACAAAAAACCTTTTGGTTTTTGGCCAAAAACTTCTCCGCGATCATGCGCATGGAAAAGACTTGATCTGTACATCCCATTCCCTTTCTAAATCCCGCTTGCACATCCCAAATTTTTCCATCAGTTTCTTTCATGACCCTTTCAATCAGTACCTTAGCATACAGTTTTCCCACAATGTTAAGAAGGCTGATGCCACGGTAGTTTTTACAGTCCTGCTACGACTCTTTTCCTTTATATACTACTATAACGGGACTATCACGGTTTTACACCAGTCTACCGGTACCCGCTTCAGTACCCAGCATAAATTAAACAAGGTGTGCAGCAAGCCTGCCACCACGTCCTCTCCAGCCCTTAGCATTTCGAGTGAAACTCTATCGTATCCGGCAGCCTTACCTGCTTTCATGCTTTTCATTGCTTTCATTATTTCATCTATACTTATCTCGCTACCTCTTTCCTCTTCTTTCGGAGTTTCTACTTCATTTAGTTCACACGTTGTCTCCTCACTCATGAAAACGCTTTCAAAATATTCCTTCCATCTCTTTAAACTCAAAACTTTATCATTCAGAATATAGCCATTCTCGTCTCTTATAGCATTCATTATAGGCTGTTTTGAATGTTCCCTGGCAGTTCTTACAAGTTTCCAGAACATTTTTATATTTGCCTGGAAGTTATCCGATATTATTCTATCATTCTTATCCGTTCATTCTTGCTTTTTCCTTTCAACTAGTTCTTTTACTCTCTTATTTCGACGTTTAAACTCTGCCTTGTTTCTTTCAATCTCATCATTCGTACCGCTAGAATTACCAGCCTTTGTTGCTAGTAAATCTAGCCATGTTCTCTTCTTTGCTTCAACTTCCATACGTATCTCATCATCCCACCATAACGTATTATTTTTCCTTTCATTCTTTCTCTTACTAATACCACATACTTCAGTAGCTGCATCCACTAAACCTTTCTTAACATTTAGTCATACATTCTCCAAGTCTAACTCCTTCATACATAATTTATCCAAACCACTTATATTTTCTTACAGTCTACATTTGAACTTGTTTTTCTCTCCTTCATCTTGTAACCTTTCTGTTATAATACGCTGTAACGCAGTGGTAGACACAGATGACCGATGGCGCCAACGCCTGAATACACCATTAATTCGGCATAAAACCAAATAATGATCGGTTCCTACGTTAGAACCCCGGTAAACCCTTGTATCTACCACTGCGCCCCTCAATCTTTCATCCACAATTATGAAATATATCAAGCTTCTATCGCCACCTCTTTCCCAAGTATACATGTGAATCCTCTTGTGAGGAAAGCAAGTGTCACAAAGTCACAAAAAAATTCTTTTCCATACATACGGTGAGGAGACTTTCACCATTCTCATTTATACTTTCATCACCAAACGTTCCCAATATCCTTTCATAACCAATCCTCCTCACCCCAACCCTTCCATTAAAATCTCCTAGCATAATAATATTTTCATTTCCCTTACATTTCATTAACACCATCCTTACTATTTCCCAAAACTGCTCTCGGATATAAGTGGGCTTAAACATGTCTGGGGCGTAGACCCCTAACACAAACAACTTCTTTAAGCCCACTTTCATTCGTATCCATAGCAGTCTTGGGCTTACATTCATACTCTTTCACACATTGGCCCATTCTTTCTGAAAGGATGATACCTACTCCCTGGCATGCCCGCTCGATCTCGTCTACACCAGACCAGTATGCGGTATACATGCCATGTGTAGTGACATCCTTCCCCTTCCTTTTCGTCTCATTTACACATAACACATCTATTCCTCTATCATACATCATATCGCATACTTCATCCATTTTATCCTTCATTGATCCACATACGTTCAAAGTAGCCAGACTGGCCTCTGCAATTCACTTTTCGCCCCTCCGGGAGACAGAACGTGACGGGTGGCGCACCTCGTCGCCGGTTTTCCTCCCGGAGATTCTTCGCACCCCTGCCCCATTAAAGGGGCGCCGGGAACTCCTTGGTTTTAGAAATCGAATACCATTTATTTATTTAAAAAAAAAGATTCTCGGTCTTGTCATAAGGTTTTGTCAAACTTGTTTAGTCGCTGAGAAAATGGAATTGACTCGAGAAAATTCAAGAGCGATGATTTATTATGACTTTCGAAGTGATTTAACACAAAAACAGTGTGTTGACCGGATGATTTCTGCATTTGGTGATGAAGCCCCATCCAATACCACAATTTATCGCTGGTTTGCTGAAATTCAACGTGGACGTGTCAAGCTCAGTGATGATCTCCGTCAAGATCGTCCAAAAACTGCAGTCACCCAAGAAAACGTTAATGCTGTGTGTAAGCTGATTGAGGAAAATCGACATGTGGCATACCACGAAATTCAGGCAACTTTAGACATTGGCATGAGTCAAATACAAATAATCTTGCATGAACAATTAGGTGTAAAAAAGTTGTTTTCCCGATGGATACCGCATTCGCTCTGTGAAGAGCAAAAAGCGGCTTGCGTTACTTGGTGCGTCAGAACTTTCGAAAGATTCCACGCAGGATCCTCCAATGCTGTATACAACATCGTATCAGGTGAGAAATCCTGAATATACGCGTACGAACCCGCAAAAAACAGGTCACGAGTTTGGGTGTTCGAAAATGAGTTAAAGCCAACAAAAATTGTTCGTTCACGAAATGTTGCAAAAAAAATGGTGGCCACGTTTGTCTCCAAAACCGGCCATGTTACAACTATTCCACTTGAGGGACAAAGAACGGTTAATGCAGAATGGTATGCTAGCATTTGTTTGCCACAGGTCGTTTCAGAACTCCGTAAAGAGAACTGCAACCGCCGCATCATCCTCCATCACGACAATGCGAGTTCTCACACCGCACACAGAACAAAAGAGTTTTTAAAGCAAGAAAACATAGAATTATTAGACCATCCGCCGTACAGCCCCGACCTAAGCCCTAATGATTTCTATACTTTCCCTAAAATAAAGAATAAATTGCGTGGACAGAGATTTTCATCACCTGAAGAAGCTGTGGACGCCTACAAAACGGCCATTTTGCAGACCCCAACTTCCGAATGGAATGGTTGCTTCAATGATTGGTTCCATCGTATGGAAAAATGTGTCAAATTTCGCGGAGAATACTTCGAAAAGCAATAAATACATTTTTAAATAGTACTGTTGTGTCACTTCCTTGATTCCCGAAATTTTCAGACTCGTACTGACGAAACTTAGCAACTCAATCATTTGTATTCACACTTTTGACCATTCTTTCTTTCACTGCTTACACATTTTTTAAATACATACTTACTAGTTTTGTACTAAAATAGAGTAACGGATGTATGTGATTGCTCTAAGTTTACTATTAAAATCTCTTAAATATTACATTCGTTTCTTTACTGTTATTTATTTGATTACTTTTATCTTTTTATTAATACTATTACAGATCATTTTCTTATTTATTTTCTAATGTTTATTATTTCTATCTTCATTACAATGCGAATATGGTTTATATTTACACTGTGCACTACATATACTTAGCTTATATCTTACTATTGTGTCTGAAAACCTGACAGTGAAAGTGTTAATATATGTACGCTCATTGCATAGCATCGCAACATAGCAACTTCCTTGATTCCCGAAATTTTCAGTGCCGCCCTCGTACTTAACATCAGGTGGACTGTGTGTTCGTTTTTTTTCTGAATAGCATATCTCAATGTTAAGTCTATAGTCTAGTATTTCATTCATATATATCGTTTTCTATTAGTCAAAACGATTATAGTTAGTTATAGATATAGACTAGATTCATTGATCTAACATTTCTAAACATGAAGTTTCTCTTTCAGAGTGGTGTCGGGATCTCGAGACGCAACCTTACGCGTGTGGTCGATTCCGGATGGGAGATGTCTTCAGGTGTTGGCGGGACATTCCAACACTGTCCGCTGTGTACAGTACGACGGGAAGTTGGTGGTATCCGGTGCTAACGACTTTTTGGTCAAGGTCTGGAACCCGGAGACTGGAGTCTGCTTGCATACTATGAGTGGACATACTGACAGTGTTTATGGTCTCAAGGTAATATTTTGTGTTTTGAACAATTTTTATACAATGGTGACTTTAAATTATACAATTTACCACACGGGTAGGGCTAGTGCCCATTAATCGTATTAATTTTGATAGGTTAAAATAACTAGTAAAGTGAAAAAGAAAATGCAAATAAATTAAATAATAGAAAGGTAACTAAAAATTAGGATCACACCTGTAAAAATTCATTCATGAAACTACTTACCTAACTGGCTTACGTTTACTCGAAGCGGCGACGCGTCGTTTCGCACGCTGGCAACCGCGCAATAAGACGCATTGCGTCTTATTTTAGGAATTTTAGGAATTTAAGAACTATTTCTCGTGTAAATGTACGTAGGACACTCAATAAGTTTTGAGATATACAAAAAGAATTCTAGATTCTACTAATATTTATTTTACAACTTTTCAGAATATTCTCCATCATGCTCTATACAAAGTTCCATTCGCCTGGACCTACTCTGAAAACACTTTTGCCAGTCTTGATTTGACAGGTCGGAAATCGCTTCCTCGTAGGCAGTCACGGCTTCTTCGGCGCTTAAAAAAAACTTGTCTTTTATTTTTTCTTTGACTCTTGGGAACGAAAAGATATCACAAGGAGCTAAGTCAGAACTGTACGTGGGTTGACTTAGAGTTTCAACACCAGATTCCTCAATAAATGCTTTTGGTCTAAAGTAGGTATGTGAAGAGGCGTTATCGTGATGCAGCATGAATCTCTGAAGCCCGGTCTTTGGTCGTCTCTCCAGCACAGCTTGAAAAACTTTGGCTAATGCGACTTTAACATTCCATTCAGAGTTGACTGACCTACAATTTTCCAGCATTGACGTCGACAAACTTCCGCCCCGCGAAAAAACACTAGCCATCATTTTTTTTTGCCGACGTTGCGAGCTTTTTGCAGTTTTATCGGCAATTATCTTTCTGAGTAGACCCATACCGATGATTGCCTTTTATTATCATATTGATAAATTTGTGTCTCATCACCAGTAACGCATTTCATGGCACCAATCCACACGAGTCTGTTTTTCGCTTTCGGAGAGCACACGAGGGATCCATCGACAACAAAGCTTCCTCACTCCAAGATGTTGATGTAGGATGCTATGAATGCTCCCCGAACTAATGCCTACAATCTCTTCGATGTCCGTATATGTGATTCGTGGGTCTTCTCGCATCAACATTTCAGTACATTTTCTGCCGTTACTGCTGTTTGCGGGGCTCCGGTTCTTTGGTCATCGTTAAGGTTAATTTTGCCCATATGGAATTCAGCAAACCACCTAAAAATTGTTGCGCGTGATGGACCTGAGTTTCCTAATGCTGATTGTAGCCGTTGTAAACTTAATTCTTCGGTTAAACCAAATTTAAAATCATAATACATCATAGCGCGCAAATGTTCACGGTTAAGATCCATCGTTTTAAATGAAAAGCGCGAGAAGCATTGCAGGAAAATTAATAGAACTTTGTTTTTTTTTTTTGTTAATATTGAGCAATTGGCTTATGGAGTTCCATTTTTAAATAAATTTGCTTTTTAGAAACATATGGCACGGGTGCGTTCCATTTTTAAATTTTGAGCATCTCAAAACCTAGTTATCAAAAGTAACCTAGGTATCAAAGAATCTGAGCAGCACGCGGCGCAAGTGGTACCTACAGTGGAGGTGCTTAGTCAAACACTTATCGTATCACCCTCTCTTGTTACTATGTGTTAACTGTCATCACTAACCACTGCTTTAATTTGTCTTTGTTTTAAATTTTCTTATTTTCAACGAGACCACCGTATTGGCGGATAGAAAGAGCTAAACGGCGTTTCATGTTTTCACGCACATTTGAAAATAAATTGTTACTTGTAGCCATTTCCCTCATCACATCGTCTTTGATGCATTCGTTGGCATAGCAGTAAAACACTTTATTGGATAGTTTTATGCATGATGCATAAGGAACAAATCACTCCAAAATTTATGCATGTGTAGTATTTTTTAATATTTTTTACACTCATAAAGTTAAATTTACTATTCGTAATGTATTTAATTACTAAATATTTTATAAACTGGCCGTTTCATTTTGCAAATAAAAATATAAGGTTTACATTATGAATCCGCAGAAACTTATTTGGATTACTTCCACAGTAGCATTTATAGTATCCAAGGCCATTCATCCATACGCCGAAATCTTCATTGTAGTGCTTACGTATCGACTTCCTGTATGTAGTATCTTCAAACACAACTGCTGACCTCCGCTCACACCATAATTCGTAGGAACGTTTTAAGTTCCTGCTTATTCCTACTAACGTTTCGATTAAATATTCATTATGAAACAGATGCTGGCAGTGTTCACGAGTCTCCTTAGCATGTTCTTTTTTTAAATAAAATATTTTCATTAAATGTAAGTTTAATCTTTTCTAAATGCACCTGTCATAACCTTTCTGTTTTGGACATGTCAGTTAGTTTCACGCACGGTGAAAATAAAGTACATGAACAATGGCTAGAACACACTTAGGCCCAAAAAATAGAGAAAATACATATATTTTTTTAAAGTAGGTACGTGAAAAATAAAAACTAGTTGTTTAAAGATAATTATTATTTATGTGAAGATTTATATGATAGATTTTTATTATTTAAAATATAATTGTTTCAAAGAGTACCACAACTATTAATTGTAAATTTTTATTTGAGATCTGACGATCTTGCTGACCACCTACGACGTCCAAATCTACCCATGCATTATGCACGAACGTGTCATTTAGCCACTGCCTGGCTGTTGTTGCAGAGTGTGAAGGCACGTCATCGAATTGGTACCACATTCGTTGGTATGGATGGACGTTTAGGTTGTGTATTCTGACATCGTATCATTTAGTGGATTAACAAACCTTTCTCCGTTCAAAGCCCCATCAATGAATACGGTTTCGATGGTGTTGTCACCGTGAATAGCTGCCCAAACATTTACTGGAAATCTGTACTGATGGGCTATGGACGGTTCTATAATGGACTAGAAAATGCCTAGTGCTCTGGCGAAGGGTAGTTTTGGCTTGGTCTTCGAAATATTGTATCACATTTTCAGTTAACTGGATTGTTTTGTCGTGTAGGCGGTCGATCGGGGCGTTGAGACCTAGGAACCTCTGGCCGGTTTTCGCGGATGCGCTGAAGAGCTCCTACGATAGTGTGAGAATGAGTAGGGCATTGTCTTGAAACACCGTATCTCTCGCGATATGTTTTTATCAAAAGGGCGGCATTTTGATGACATTCTCCGTAAATTAGGATCATGTCCGCATATTCAGCTGCTGTGTAGTTCGGATGTGTATTAGCCATCACGAGTCCGTATCGCAAGAGACGTAAACGTACCTACTAGATTATAAAACGAAAACAAAACAAAGCGTCTTTATCGCGGTACCATAACCTAATTACTATCCTAGTTACACAAAAATTAATAAATAAAGAAATGGGTAAACGTTTTTTGCGGAAACATTCACAAAAATATTAGTCGACATAATTGCGCACTATTGTGTAGTAGTGTGTCAAGGACACGGATTCGCTTCCGCGAGCACTAGAAATTAGAAAAGCAAAAAATGAATTCGATTTCGGTTCGCGCGTCGCCTGCGCCGCCCGCTCGCCGACAAAGGGATGTTTCCTTTCTTCAATAGTATTGCTTATTCGTTTTAATTTCAATGATGCGATGTTATGATCCGTGACCCCGGCAAATGACCTCTGTGCGACTGTGTTCTGCAATGCTGCGGCTACACTAACAGGAAACGTTAATGCCCATATACGCAAAAATTATTGCCATAAATTTAACGCGATAACTACACTTGAACAATCAACGTCGTTTCAATTTCAAGGCCGTTGCCGTTGCCGTTGAAAGGAGATGGACGTTGACGCAACTACTCTATATTTGATGAGTGTAAAATTTAATTATATGAATATATTTTATCATTGATGCAATTTTATTAAAATTGCAAATAAACAAAAAAACAGCAACGCGCCGAACATAAATGCTGTTTAGTAATACTCGGACCTGGAAGTCAATGACAAAATAGAGGTTTTCGTTCTACGATCACTTTGAACCATCTTATATCGTATTATATACCAACCATTACTTTCATATACCCCTCGTAGGAAACTATCCATCGTTTCGAATGCGAACCAATTAATTATACACGTCATTGTACCAGCCGCGGACTTCAAAGACATTTTATACTTGTTCAAATGGGTTCTATAATAACCCATTAGGCTTTCCTTCTTCTATTTAATTTCTTCAATAGTTGTTTGAAAAGGTAACAGTTGCATTTTGCGATGTACGATTTTTAGAACTTTTATGTCTCGGATTCCACAAACATGGCTCTGTTTGCAGGATCTCGAGAAATGTTACAACTTTTTCATTACTTCACTCCATCGCAGCCATACGTACAACCCCGTTCTACTCACCGTGCACAATGAGAAAAACGTAGTATGGCCCGCTTCAACACTAATCATTTGATGTACCGCCACTCGAGTTATCGCCAAACGGGAAACGGCACTGTTAATGCTGTTGTCAAATTATCGCGTTATTTCGTGGCCACACCTACGTTCAACGTACATCAACGCGATAATTAACGGCATTTCTCGTTACTGTGGCCCGGCCATAAGTACAGGTTGCTCTAAAATACTATTTTCTAAAATTTAAAAAAAATCCGTAAGTACTAACGTTTAATGGAGATGTAATTTCTTCATGAAACGAAAATGTGAAAACGTATATAATGTATGTTAAATTAAAAGTTCAAAATTGTAGCGGCACGCGGTATATATATGTGAAGAGAAAACTTTGAACCCCTCTTTAAGCATATTACATGCATGGTGGAGTGTGAGTGAGGATTGTGAACTATGCCAAGTTAAAGTTTATATGGAGAAAGAGTGTAGAAAGTAAAAATTTATTAATAACATTAGTTTACATGTACAATATATAAAAGAAAATACACATTGTTTACGTTCATATCTACAGCCTCCATTATCACCTGCATCAATTATAAAAAATTATTACTAATAATATAAATAAAATGATTATACTTATTATAAAAAATAGTTTTAAAAAATCGAACTAGAAAAATCAAAAGAATATTTAAATAACGTGTAAAAAGCATTTTGCTTATACTTACATAATATCACAACTTAGGTAAGTAACCACACTTGTTCATTGTTGCAATGCAATTCTTGCATATACTGATTTATAAGGTTTTTATCCCAAATAGAAGCGTATGAGCGGCTCCTCCATATTTTGAATTCACATTGGAAAGGCGGCATTCATTGTAACAGACTTACAAAAATTTATTGTAGTGTAGTTTTCAAGTTATGACCTAAAATATCTATGTACTAATTAGATGTATTACTATACTAATGTAATTTTCAACGAATACTAATGTAATTTTAAATGAACTAAGTCTTGTTGATACCACCATTTTTCTTGGAATAACACTAGACGCAAAGCTTCAATGGCTCCCCCCATATATCAAAACTAGCTAGCAGACTTAGTTCTGCAGCATATTCCGTAAAAAAGATTAGAACTCTTTTTTTTACTTACCAGTGTTGAAACAGCTAGAATAGTTTACTTTAGTTATTTCCATAGCATTATGTCGTATGGTATTTTGCTATGGGGACACGCGACTGACACTGAAATTATATTTATTTTACAGAAGGGGGCCATTAGAGCAATATATAATTTAAAACCAAAAGAGTCACTAAGACAAAAATTTAAGAAATTAATATATTAACTCTGGCCTCTCAAAACATTTATGAAAATGTAATCTACGTACACAAACATAAACGTAGTATCGCAAAAATAAGTGATATTCATTTTGTAAATACTATGAACAGACACAAGCTAGTAGTACCAGTTACTCGACCGACCACCGAGTCAGTAATTCATTATTGGGACCCCCCGAGACAAAAATCTCAAAAAATATAGAAAATTTGTCATAAGCAAAGTTCAAAAATTTCATTAAACGTTATTATAATATTAAGGAATTTATGGACGATAATAACCCCTGAGAATGGTGATCGCTACCAAGCAATTTTTAATTTGTCTTGTGTTGTTAATTGTAAAAATGATTTTAAGCTATTATTTGAAAAAAATAATCCCGCTGGGTTACTTGCCAGTTCTTCCCAGGACAGAGGTTTTTTTGCGAACCAGTGGTAAATAAAAAAAATGACTTTCAATAAGTATTGTTTATAATCTACATTGAATAAAAAAGTTTCTCTTTCTTTGTTACAGTTCGATGGGATTCATGTTGTAAGCGCCTCACTGGATACATCAATCTGCGTATGGGACGTCGAATCTGGACAACTGAAGCACACATTAACCAGGAACCGGACCCTGACTTGTGTGCTTCAGTTGCAGTCCAACATATTAGTGTCTGGCAACGTAGATGCCACCGTCAAAATCTGGGACATCACTACGGGTCACTGCCTACACACATTGTCAGGTAAGTTGTTTTAATTAACATACATACATAACATAAATACTCACGCCTGTCACCCAGAGGGGTAGGCAGAGACTACAGACTTCCATTTAGCACGATACTGAAATACCTCTCTCGCCTCTTCCACATCCATATACCTACGCATACATGATCGTCGGTTAAGGGTACTCTTAATTTGGCCCATTTTTAGTATATCGCCAATTTGATCGACAAACTTCCGCCTAGGACGTCCCTTTCCGACTCTTCCATTCACTTCTGCAACATATATTTGCTTTGTCAGTCTTTCCTCATTCATTCTTTCTACATGACCAAACCACCGAAGCATTCCTTTCTTAATCCTGGTCACAACATCATCTTGCAAACCACACTCTTCTTTTATCACACAGTTTCTCACCCTGTCACTCAGATTCAGCCCTAACATACTCCTTAGCGACCGCATTTCTACTGCATTTAATCTACTCTCGTGCTTCTTCTGCCACACCCAACTTTCACTACCATAAGTTAAAGTAGGGAATAATACAGCATTGTGAATTACCATACGTGCCTTTTTTGACACATTCTGACTTTTCACAATAGAGTGTAGAGCCCCATTTACTTTATTTCCTGCATTCACTCGTCGTTCAATATCCTAATCATATCTCCCATCCCTGATGAATACACATCCCAAATATACGAACTCCTCCACTTGCTCAACTAACTCTCCTTCTATTCTTATTTCACATACCGTTTTACTTTCTTCTCTTTCTAAAACCATAACCTTCGTCTTACTTGCGTTCACTTTCATTCTCCTTTCTTTTAATGACCTGTTCATTAATGTAACCATCATTTGCAACTCGGCCGCCGACGACGCAAGTATGACTTGATCATCGGCGTACAAAAGTCATTTGATGGTTAACTCACCCATTCTTAACCCGCATTCTTCAACTTTCAAATTTTCCAAACAACTGTCCATAAATAGGTTGAACAGCCACGGGGAAGCTACACAGCCCTGTCTGACACCTTTATGGATGCCAAACCAGTCCGAGTAGACCCCGTTGATTCTAACACAAGCACTCGAGTCCCTATATAGAGACTTTAATGCCTGTATTAAACCAACGCTCAACCTAAATGCGTTCAGCGTTTGCCATAACACATCCCTGTCCACTCTGTCATAAGCCTTTTCCAAGTCCATGAACGCACAAAAAACTTTTTGGTTTTTCGCCAAAAACGTCTACATGCGCATGGAAAAGATTTGATCTGGTGTACGGTGATTTGATGGGGTGTACCCCCATTCACTTTCTAAATCCCGCTTGTACATCCCAAATTTTTTCATCAGTTTCTTTCATAACTCTTTCAATTAGTACCTTAGCATACAGTTTTCCCACAATGCTAAGAAGGCTGATATCACGGTAGCTTTTACAGTCCTGCTGTGACCCTTTTCCCTTATATATTGGGACTATCACGACTTTGCACCAGTCTCCCGGTAACCGCTTTAGTTCCCAACATAAATTAAACAAGGTGTACAGCAGGCTTGCCACCACTTCCTCTCCAGCCCTTAGCATTTCGAGTGAAACTCTATCATATCCGGCAGCCTTACCTGCTTTCATGCTTTTCATTGCTTTCATTATTTCATCTATACTTATCTCCCTATCTCTTTCATCTTCTTTCGGAATTTCTATTTCATTTAGTTCACAAGTCTCCTCACTCATAAATACGCTTTCAAAATATTCCTTCCATCTCTGTAGACTCAACACTTCATCATTCAGAATACAGCCATTCTCGTCTCGTATCGCATTCAATATAGGCTGTTTTGAATGTCCCCTGGTATTTCTGAAGAGTTTCCAGAACATTTTAATATTTACCTGGAAGTTATCCGATACTCTTCTATCATTCTTATTCGTTCTTTCTTGCTTTTTCCTTTCAACTAGTTCTTTTACTCTCTTATTTAGACGTTTAAACTCTGCCTTTTTTCTTTCAATCTCATCATTCTTACCGCCAGAATTACCAGCTTTGGTTGCTAGTAAATCTAGCCATGCTCTCTTCTTTGCTTCAACTTCCATACGTACCTCATCATCCTACCATAACGTATTGTCTTTCCTTTCATTCGTTCTCTTACTAACACCACATACTTCGGTAGCTGCATCCACTAAACCTTTCTTAACATTATGCCACACATTCTCCAATTCTAACTCATTCACACACAACTCATCCAAATCACTTATATTTTCTCTCAGTCTACATTTGTACTTGTCGTTCACATCTTCAGCTTGTAACTTCTCAATTCTTATACGCTGTAACGCAGTGGTAGACACTGATATCCGATGCCACCAACGTCTGAATAAACCCCTAATTCGGCATAAGACCAGGTAGTGGTCCGTCCCTACGTTGGACCCCGGTAAACCCTTGTATCCACCACTGCGCTCCTCATTCTTTCATCCACAATTATGAAATCTATCATGCTTCTATCATCACCTCTTTCCCAAGTATACATGTGAATCTTCTTATGACGAAAGAAAGTGTTCGTCACAAAAAGATTCCTTTCCACACATACGGTGAGGAGGCTTTCACCATTCTCATTAATACTTTCATCACCAAACGTTCCCAGTATCCTTTCATAGCTAAGCCTCCTCACCCCAACCCTTCCATTAAAATCTCCTAACATAACAATATCTTCATTTTCCTTTAATTTAATTGCCTTTTGAGTGTAAACACAGCTCAGTAATTACGATGGGAATCGCTTTGGAGAAACCAATGAAATAATGTGTTGTTCACCCGCTCACTCACTTGGTGACTACTAATTTTTTTTTATGTTGCAGTTATTAATTGGTTTAGTAATAAATTTAGCAACAAAAATGGCTTGTTAGACAGATTAAGGCCCTATACTACCTCAGCTCAAATTATAATTCCGCACCCACTTTCCCGCGCGTCGTATGCTATGTAACGACATGTTTGTAATCACTAACACATTGTTTTTATGTTTTTATGTACAACGTACATATATAAAAAGAGTGAAGACAGCACAAGATTAAATAAAACATACCAGATTATAAAGAGTAATTTATTGCATGAAAAACCAACAAAATCAAGTTATTTTGTGTTATCGATGTATCGACTCTTGGCAACACTATTTTTTCATAGGTATTTTTGTCCAATTTTCGCTTTGGCGTACAGGACACGGTAATGCGTTTTTGGCGTGGCGCTCAAAAGGTTAAACAATGTATTAATACCTCCAAAAGGAATTCACACATTTTTTCATAGAAAATTTAATAAATAAAAGAAAAAACAAATGCAAAGCAACATAGAATGTAATACAAAAGGAAATTAGTGTTTTAAAATGTGACAATTTTGTAACTGAAATAAATTTAAAGAAAAAACAATTGACAAATCCTTTTGACATAGCCTCAGCTTTTAATGGCCACTTTATTGAACTGACTAATAGAAAAAACCTGACTGCAAATAAGACACAAAAAACAACTGCTAAGAGCAGGCAAATTTAGTGTAAACATGATATTTCTTCTTCCAAATTCAAAAAAAGAAGTAAAAAAGAAACTATGGGTTTTCACATCAACTCGAAGGCTTTGACGGAATCAGTACAAAAATAATTAAAATGCGTACTGATGAACTAGTACCTGTATTGACGTATTTAATGAATCTATTATTTTCATCTGGTACGTTTCCGGAATCATTAAAACAATCAGTCGTCAAACCATTGTATAAAAAGGGTAAAAAAATGACGTCAACAATTATCGCCCAATTACTCTTATACCTATTGTATATCGAAGGTGTTGGAGAAATACAAGCACCTGAGAATACTCAATTATTGCATCTACTCACTACATCATTAATAAAGATCAATTCGGTTTTCAAAAAGAAAAGTCAACAACTTTAGCAATATTTACTCTTGTGCAAACAATACTGACAAAATTAAATAAAGGTTATCTAACAGTTCCATTTTTTTAATTGTTCAAAGCGATTGATTTTGTAGACCATGACCTCTTGTTCATTAGTTTAAGTTTAGTAGTAGTAGTTTTTAGTAAATAGTTTAAACTCTAAATTGACATTTTCAGGCTTTAACAAACATGAATCAGCGGTCACTTCCCTTCAATTGAGCAATCGTTTCGTGATCACCTCATCAGTTGATGGCATGGTCAAGCTTTGGGATATTCACACTGGAGAATTCATTCGCAACCTCGTGGAGTCAAATTCCGGAATATCTGTTAGAGTGCGACGGCGTATCAGAGCTTCCGCAACCAAGCTAATCTGTGCTGTTAGCTCGAGGTTTGGCAACGAGGAAACAAAGCTCCTGGTCCTGGACTTTGACGTGCCCAATGATTACAGCGGCAATTATTAATGTAGATTACGTTGATACGCAAACTTGTACGCACCATGCTTTGCTAAATATGTCTCGGAGGATGGGCATCAAACCATACTGCTAGTCCCGATCTCTCATGGACTGCATTGTGTTATTTTTGTAATCAGTGCATTTTAAAGTCTTTTGAAACTATAGTGATTCTAAAATTAGAGGCAGCTCGCGATTGGTTTCCAATGTAATCAATAGTGTGGGGTATAATTTTGTGAGGGTATGTATTGAATTGTGTTTGTGCAATCTACATTCAGAGCTGAGATATTGTGTTGAAAGTGGGGACAGTGGTGCTTTGATCAGTGAATTATGATTTTTTTATACAAAGTCTACCCACCGGGCTTGACGCTAGTATTGAAGGACCACATACATTTTCCACATTTTCTGATTACCTATTTATACATTCAATGCCAATATGATTTTTTTCTTTAAAAATTTATAGAATAATTAATTATGTTCATTAAATAAAAGCGGGGACATGTATGTTCACCTCGCTTTGCCAAATTTCTGTAACATTGTTGCATGGTTCATTAACCCAAAGAGTTAAGAGGATATCAGACTTTAGTTCTTAGGTTTTATTGTTAAGTTGCTATTAATAACAGCTTGTGTTGTTAACTGTAGGTTTTGTTTAATATTAACCTAAAATGTTAAATCATTGAATACTAAATTTTTGCACTTTGTAAGCGAATTTAATGTCCTTTTTATTTTGTATTTATTAAATGGAATTCTTCATTTATGTTGTAACATCCACAAGTTAACAATAATGTTTGTTGGTGTATATGTGAATTGCAATAGTAAAGCATAATAGTGCATAACCAAACTTTGTACTCTACGTAGACGGTAAGGGCCATCACGGCTTTCGCACACTTTTAGCTGTGGTAATGTGTAAATACTTACTTGTAAATGATAATATGTGATCATTGTACGCCTGTCTTCTACGATGGCTGATTTAACAAATAATTAAACGAAGACTGAAGCATAGGTATAATGTAATATTTAATGTGTATTGATGTAGTTACTACAATACTACCCACCATCACGCTACGCTATACGTGAAAACTTTTTTGTTTGATTAAAATTAGTGTTGTTGACAATCAATTATTTACATAATCGATTATTAATCGGTTATTTAATTATTAGAATGACTCATTTTTTTTCAAGCGCTATATAGTGATTATGAGATATACTATGAGATTTTACTATTGTTATATACATCTTCCTTTACCCATATCTAGCTTTTTTTGTAATAACTATAATTAATAAAGTTATTTTCAAATTCTATTTCGTTTTATTTTACGGTGCATCTGAATACACCCTTACAAATAATTATAATTAATTAATATTAAATAAAATATATCCTAATTTTGAAATAAAATCATAACAATTATTACATACTAGCGATATGCCCCGGCTTCGCACGTATGATATCTGCATGCTACCACCAGGTCCAACTATGCCTACAACCTTCGCGGAAGTGCAAACAATAATATGTTGACAGTTTTACCACAATCTGATGAACGGTATGGCAGCGCATAAAATACGAACAAACAAATTATTATTCTACGGAACCCTGAAATTGATAACTTAATCCGCGCACTCGTAAACCGTTGCTCACCGAACTCTAAATCGGAAGTACGCATTAGGATTCGACGACGCTGCACTAGTCCTCGTTCGAGCCATTTTTGGTTCACTTCTACTTACTTGCTTGTACTGCCCTGAGCTAACGGACTGTTGACTGTTGGCCTACCAACCTGCCAACGGTCATGATCACTGTCGGACCTGGATATCGTCAGCTGGCTGACTGTATACAACCCTGGAAGAACAGCACCTGGACTTCGCCTCCCTACATCATGCCATTGATCCGCATGTGTGCGGAAGTAAGATAAATAAAATAGTTTACTATAAATATTAACTGTTTAAAAAACCGATCTACCTTCTGAACCTAACCTACAGTAAAACAGACGTGTAAACAACACAGTATCACGTCAAATTTGTTATGTTGTCAAAGTAAGACTGGTCGAACGAGCGTTGTATTCCTTCCATACGGAGTTTAAATAATGTTTTTCATACAGTTTCATATAGAAACAGTGTCGCAAGGTGGAGACGTGGTGATGCTTACTGTTCCGGTTTACCTGCCTTAAATGCAAAGGTAGGTAAAGGTGATAATTGACAACAGTCTTAACCAACATTATTGGGTATTGCTGCCCATGAATACAATGTTGGACTAGTGGTCGTTAAACTTCGTTATATATCACATTGATCATTTATAATATATAATTGCTACTTTATACTTACGACTGCGACGTAACAGTTGGGCAATTTGATATAACCCAACCCATCATATCGTTACTCACTCACTCACTCACTTTTAAGACGATCAGTTAATGTACCAAATCTGAAATTAACAAGTGTGAAAATGTGAAGGAAGGGGAACCCACCTTGTGTGGCCTACACATCACATTTATCGGGACTTTAAAAATAAAATGAGTGGACTGTATTAACAATAGGTTTAATGCCGTAAAACCTCTAACCAAACTTATTATAAATTGAAAAATAAAGTGCCCGTCTGCTACCGCGTCTCGCCGCTGAGTGAGTTACAGAAGCGCACGCGCTGCCGCGAGGCCAGCAACCGGTCCGCGCCCCCACGCGTCCATCATTTTGGCCGAGGCGCGATAACGTGCGCCGACATATTCCCCGGGTTGAAGAGACGTCTTCAATCTTCAATTTGTAGAGGGCAGATGCAGTTGACAGCACGACGAATGATGCCTCGCTTCGTCTTCAACTCAGCCACTCGCGTGACTCCGTCTACGCCGGGATAGGTCGTCATGACCCGGCCCAGGGACCAGAGCAGCGGTGGTGTTGTTTTGTCTTTCTTCCTTCTTTTGTCCAGCAGAGAGATGTATTCATTATGAAAGCGGCTCCAGAAATGCTGTCTGATGTACTGTGTTCTCCTCCAGCGATCCAGTCGCGTGATGTTGGCATCAGTCACCTGGGAATGTGGTACAGATAAGAGTGGTTGTCCAATCAGGAAATGAGCGGGAGTAAGTGCCGAAAAATCGTTAGGGTCTGAAGAGAGAGGAGTAAGAGGGCGCGAATTCAAGACCGCCTCTATGTGTGTAAGACAATAGCCAATCCTCAAAGGTAAGTCAAGGTAGTAAGCCATCTCCTCAAAGGTAAAATGGGTAAGCTTTAAGAGTCTTTTTAAATGATACTTGCAAGATTTAACAGCAGCCTCAGCTAGTGATTCACTAGATTCTAAATGACTTTTGAAAGAGAATGAGACTTTGTTTTGCAATATTTGCAATGTGTGAGTTTACACTGCTTAGCAGAATGTCCGACGCGCAGGCAGTTAAGACAAACATTGTAATCGTTTGCCTTTTTATTCGATCCTCTATAGTTAAATTTCTGAAGGATTCACATTTATATAATGTATGAGCCTGGGAGCAAAGTGGACATTTATCTATTTTATTAAAATTATTATCTGATTTTTTATTATTCACTAGATTCTAAATGCAAAAATTCTAAATGCAAACTTGAGTGACTTTAGAATTAGAATGTTTATATGTATGACTATTATTTAAAGCTACAATAGTATTAGTCTGAGAAGAATTGATATTTGACTCGACAGACTCTAACCAATCCGCTTTCCTACTTAAAAAAGAAAAAAATGCATCAGAGTAGGATCATCTTTTATAATATTGTTCCTATGCTCTTCCCAGTCACGACTTGTTGTCAAATCTAATTTTTTAGTCATGACATATATTAATAATGTGTCCCAATATTGAGTGGGCTGATTTAATTTTGTACGTGCTCTTACGTTTCTGATTGAGATACTTGACTCCTTGACTATAGGATCGACATTAAATAAAGCTTGCACATGATTATTCACAAGAAGGCGATTGTTATTATACCGCTCACACAACATGTCCCACGCAATTTTTTAATGATCGCCTTTAAAATCAATATTTTTAATAACTAAGGCTGCGTTTCCATGCAATGAAGCGCGCAAATAGTGGAACTTGTTTATTTCATTGATACTAGTTATCGTGAATTAATGACGTAAACGTATCTCGAAATTCGAGCCAGCATTGGTAGTTCCCATCGAAATGAGGCAAATCAATTTTAGGCAAACGAACAAACTATTCTTATTAGAACAGTGTGCACCTGAGTCAGCAACTTTGAAACCCGTCTCCGACCCAGCACCATTGGACGAAGCACGGAGCAGGCTGCGCGTGATGGCCGCTAGATTGAAGAACTGACGGTCAAAGTCCTCACGCTCAGCTAACGCAGACCCGGCATCATCGGCAAGTACTTCGATATTTGTCTGTAATTCGTCATTCGTTCGGTTTCGAATTTATTAAAACGCTCCGCTAAGTCTAGACGTTGCAATTCAGAAATATCAGAGCTACTTTTAATTAAATTTAAATAATTGCTGTAAATTGTAAGCTTTGATTTTATCGAACTACGCTTCTTCAATAAAGTTTTTAAATTATCTGCCATTTTACTTTTATATGAACACAGCAAAAAAAGAAAACGTTGATTACTTTAGGAAAAAAAACTACAGCTGTACGAGAACAAAAGGGATCGTTGCACGCAGGTAAAAATATGAATCAGCGCCAAGGTCAACAAATCGACACTTGAGCGCTTGATATTTGTAACGGAATAAACATTTAAATTTAAACAAGCGAGCGTTGCAATGACAAAGCAATTTTTAAAGCACTGAAGTTAATTAGGTACCTACTTATTAAAAGTAAGTGTACTTAGCCAATGAAAGATGTAAAAAAGATTTTTTCGACATGAAAAGAAAGCGGGAAAATAACTAACTGGAACGAACTGACTCCAATACGGTTTTTATACTCCCAGGATGACATCAGCGTCTTCAATGATTACGCAGGCTGCTATGGGAACGACTTTCTTCTTCAATATACTTTTGTACTATTTCAAGATCAGGTAGAAAATAAAGGGTTGATTCCAACTATTACATTTTATTT